CGTGTATAAGACAAGGATGTAATGATTCTGCTGAAGGAGTTAGACACGTTCAAAACTCGTCAGGAATGTGGTCTTATCAGCATGCAAGATGAGGAACTGTGTGAACCTGTAGCATGGAACTGTGTGAACCTGTAGCATGGAACTGTGTGAACCTGTAGCATGGAACTGTGTGAACATGTAGCATGGAACTGTGTGAACCTGTACCATGGAACTGTGTGAACCTGTAGCATGGAACTGTGTGAACCTGTAGCATGGAACTGTGTGAACCTGTAGCATGGAACTGTGTGAACCTCTAGCATGGAACTGTGTGAACCTGTAGCATGGAACTGTGTGAACCTGTAGCATGGAACTGTGTGTGAACCTGTAGCATGGAACTGTGTGTGAACCTGTAGCATGGAACTGTGTGAACCTCTAGCATGGAACTGTGTGAACTGAACAAACTGCAAGAAGGGTCAAGCAAGTGGTTGCTGGAGTTCAACCTCCAGTAATTTCAAGGTCACGCAAATTAGAGTTGAGGGAAGAGAACACTAGAGACGGAGTACAACTTGAGAGGCGAGAAACTACAGATATCCCTCAAGGAGAAAGATCCGGGAATAAACATCACACCCAACATATCACCACAGGTACAAATAAAACGCACAATATCAGCAATATATGCGAGGGAAGCTATGTTGGGCCCATCATGGAGTATGCAGCACCACCATGGAGCCCTCGCCAGGTCAAACACACGAAAATTAGGAAATATCCGTAGGTTTGCAACAAGACTAGTCCCTGAGCTGAGAAGAGTCAGTTATGGGGTCTCAAGGAACTGAACCTGATGTCGTTAGAAGAAAGAATGATTAGGGGAGACATGATTACGACATACAAGATATCTGAGAGGCTTTGGCAGAGCAGATATGAATTATTATTTTTTTAATAAGAGGCATAAAATCAAGTGGTGGTAAAGAGAATGAGTTAGAGGACGAAATGTTAAAGGTAAACTAAATGCACAGTTTCAAGAGCAAGTATGACAAAGGAAGGAAGCGGCGATTGTAGTTCAAAAGGCGGGGCCAGGAGCTGAGATTCGACTCCCACACGTACACACATCAAAGTTCATGGAGCAGGGGGAGAGTGGACCTAGTAGCGACCAGTGAAGAGGCGGGGCCAGGAGCTATGAATCAACCTCTGCAATCACAAATAGTTGAATACAAAAGCCAGTTATGACGTCAAGAAACATTGTTAACTAACCAGCAACAACAGTCTGGTTGACCAGACATCACAAACATAATTGTCTTCAGAGAAAGCAAAAAAAATCCCAGGAAATCATCACAGGTACATCAAAGGCAGCGCCGGACACAGCCTAGAGTCGTCAGCAGACGTGGGCCGCCGAATGACGTCACACGTCACACTACCTAAGCAGGTGTATAGATCTGACGACACGTGAAGGTAACCTTTACAGATGTAAACAGATGTCATTGGTGTCCGGGATTTCGATGGAGCGGCAACGTCGTGTGGGTTTAGAGCGATTTGTGAGGCAAACTGCGCGTAACGTGAGTTGATGACGGTCACTGGTTAGATCAATCAGGTTGTTAGTGATGCTGGGTGAGCAGGATACCTGCCAGACCTCACACCAACACTGGCATACATCCTCCCATTAACTACCTTACTTATAATGGTATGATTTTGAACCACAATAACTGTGCTGCATATATATATATATATATAATATATATATTATATATAATATATATTATATATATATATATATATATATATATATATATATATATATGGTATAAACCTTGGTAATAAATACCGACAAGTTGGTTTAGAAAGACACGTAAGCAAACACTATAACATATTTATTAGAAAACGTTTCGGTCCTGGGACCTTGATCACTTCTAACATACAGAGGTAGAAAGACATTATATATATATATAGGCGGAGACTGAGATGTGACGCACGTGACCTGAGGAATGGCATAAGAACATAAGAATGGAGGAACACTGTAGAAGGCCTACTGGCTCATGCGAGGCAGGTCTTTATCAAAACAGCCTCTACCTATGATGAGGACGGGTAGACGATGAAATCATGTGACTCCTGTGTTGTTGGGTTGGTGTTGCTTAAGTATCATGTATGCCAATGTTTTTGAAATTTTGTAGTTTCCAGTGTTGCGTTCTATAGTGTCGGTGACGGCGATTAGTGAGGCTTCTAGGCACCGTCGGCGTCTGAGGTCTGGTTCGGTGAGAACGAGTTGTGCCTCGTTCCAGTTCATCAAATGTCCCGTGGAGTCTCTGTGGAGTACACAGGCGTACCTTACATCGTCTCTGTTAGAGGCATTTCGATGCTCATTCAGGCGGACTGCAAGATCTCTGCCTGTCTCGCCTACATATTTCTTGGGACAGAACCCACAGGGGATAGTGTAGACGCCTGCTGTAGAAGTTAGAGGTGTGGGGCTGCGTTTCGTAGTGAGGTCTTTGATAGATGATGTGTTTATGGTGGAAACGTTGATGTTACTCAT